CGGGACGGGGGTTTGTTTACGCCCTAACGCTGATTTCGGGATTGACGTTAGAGGGCGCGCAGCTCGGCGATACCGGTTTGAAGTTCGGCCGAGCATGGCAAGTGGCGCGCGGGTCGCAAGCGCAGCTGTCGTCTGCCAAATGTGCTAATGTCTGCACGCTGTTAATTTTGTGCGGGAACCGCGGAATAGTTAGGGCGTCTAGTAAATATCCTGTCTAGGAATTATAACGCGCATTCCCTGTTTGGATAACCTTTCCCGGGACTTATTGGGTCTGACTCAGAATCTGTATAAGTGCATTCGACAATATTAGCTAGTGCAGCCTCTGATATTCTAGAACTAACTGTAGCTACGCGAAACTGCCGTGACCTTTAAACTCCGTGTGCGTTTGTGCGTTAACCTTATACCCAGCGATAGTTAGTGGCTTCTGTAAGTTAGTTAATCGTACGATAGAGTTAATTGCCTGTCATCCTGACGAGAGAAGAAAGTGACTGTGGTCCGGCGCCGAAGCAGTCTGAAGCAGTGTGGCAGCATTTTGGAGCAGCCTGGAACTCGGCAGCGGCTGGTCGCCTATGCTTGACAAGGCCCCACACATTCACCCCTCACTGTACACTACTCTCCATCCACTATTACACACACTCACGGCCTGCCCAAGCCTTGGTGCGAAGTTAGCTTCGGATAATGGTAAGTACTATGTCCTTCTAACGTCCTCCCATCTGGTTTATTGTAATTAGAAATTTCCACGTGGCCATATTCTGGCCCCGTCCCTCTGCTGCTCGTCGATGGGATTACTCATGGGCCCTAATCCCGTCAGGCTTGGTTGGGGCAGCTAGGGGCGTGTACACAGGCCATCCGGAGTTGCTCCTAGGAATGAAATTTCTGGGTCTATAAAAAGTCCGCAGGGTTTTTAATATATTTTCTTGCATTGCAATTGTTCAACGACAAGTTTTTCGTTTTCACGACCATGTTTTATAGACTCAACATAGTCTAAATTATGAGATTTGTATAGCAACTCTTTAATTATATTTGAGCAACTAGTGTCCTCTTTACTTTTAACAATGCGTCCAAAATTGGATTCTGTTAGCAATGATCGTCGTAACTCTAGCCATTCACTTGAGCTGCTTTGTAGTATAGTTCTCCCTTCAAAATATTGCCTTTCTTTATCTGTCCTCTTTAAGTTTTCGATAAAGGTCATCTTAAATTTCTCCATAAGACCCTCCGATACATCTGGCTTATGACTGTATTCTCCGTAATATTCACCTCTCTTTGTTGCTAATGGTACTGGTCGTTTCTGATATGTGTACTTCCTCGAAAATTTTCATTCATCCTCGAGTACTTCGACTTGCTAGGTGTTTATGAAGGGTCTTTGATAATTAAATGAGATTGCAACTTCAGTGCATCTCGTCTGATAACTCCTTCGTAGGGAGTAGTTTACTCGTTTTCCACCCACGAATTTTGCAACAACACTGTGAAATCGTTCCACAACATTGCTGTCTACATCATTTATAAGACTTTTCGAATAACCAGCAAGATTTCTCATAAAAAAACCAATTCTTTGCCAAAGAGAACCAGGGAAACTAATCACTTGGTATTTTATTAAAATTGGTGTCATTTATATCGTCTCTTTTATTCAAGTATTTGCAAAAATAGAATTTACATTTCGTATGACTTTCAAAAGCGCCCAAATGCCTAGCTAAAATGTCTTCCAAAAGTATGTTCGTATAAAAATCATCGTTTCATTTCACCGCGTGACATTTAATGCCAACGCTTATGCTTTTCCTGATAGATAGAATTATTTTCTTTGTTAGAAGCTTCCTCTGTTTAATAGGATATTTTGTTGCAACTTGTAGGTTTTGTAACTTATTACATAAATTTCTTAACAGGTGGTCCCTATACTCTAATTTTTCTACAGCTAACTAAATAGCAGACATATAGCTGACACCTAATTATGCTATTGAAAACCACGACAATCGTAAACAATACTTCTGTGAAAAATGGTGTACACAACAGGATTATGAACGCACGAAACATTTTTTTTTTTAATTTTAGCCAAGTTGTAAATAGAAGACCAAAAACGTCATTTGCCAATTTAATTAAATATATTTTTATTTTGACTACGTTTAGTTAAATCATCATTGATAAAAATGAGAACAGAAATTTTACAATTGTGTGTAAATCTAAAAGCTTGTTAATTATTTTTATTACAAATAGCTATGACTGTATATTTTAATAAATCACACCTATAATATTTTATATTATTTTTAATTTTACCCTATTTGAAACATTCTAAGCGCTATAGAAAATGTGGCGTATGAAATGACTGACAATCACTGAAATGTTTTATCTAGTTACTAAGGCACTGCGCAAACGTAGACACTTTTTGTTACCGACACGGAAAACCATTACAGAAAACTGTTGTTGTAGTTGCTGTGTCCGACGGCAATCGGATACAGTCACCGGTTGCTACTTCTGGTCACTGTTAATAATTCATTACTTTAGACTTTTAATTTCCACTTACCTACAGCGAACACTTTTTGATTGGCAATCGGTATGTATCAAGTGGAACCAACTAGACACAAAGAGTGTCTGCGTCTGCGCAGAGCGTGGCTGATTTCATATTGATTATATGAAAGTAAAATATTCTCTGGTAACTTGCATCCCACACAAGACACAAAAGTGTCCCGCCTAAGATGTTTTACGTCTTCGTATATTTTTCTCAGCATTACATACCTTTCTGTATCTAAAACGAAAAGGAATATTGCATATATTTTTCTTATAGAATAAGAAAGACAAACGAGCACACATTTCACCTGATGGTAAGTGGATACAGTGGTCCATAGACGTCTTCTACAAAAATAGAGGCACCTGCATATTGATTCTTTATCGAGGGTTAATATCCTCGATTAAGAATCAATATGCAAGTGTGTTGTCACCCCTGAGGACCAAGATGGACTGCCTCGTATCCAGTAAAAAAAAGTCTCCGGTTCTCTTCACTCTCCATACAAAACACAGCAGCATTAAGTTGCTATTTTACACTTGTTTTTTGTGAGAGTGTAGTCCTTCCCCGGTCGAGCCGACCCATTCGTGCTACAACCATAATATAACTGCACCTCTACCACCTATAATTGTATAAAATATAATACTATACAAACAAATACGATTCAACAAATAGAATAGAAATACTTACTTTTTCTTACTTATGCCGTGCATTGGAATTGAACACGCTTAAAACCGCGCCTGCGACATGATTCTCAGTAATGCGCAAACATAATAGGAAGTATCCCACTTATCACTATATTAAGTAGTATCCCAAATACTCCACTCCAAAGAATCAGTAATTTTTTCATATGCAATGTATGCGATATTACAAAAAAATCCCAAAAATATGCAGGCTTTATCGTTTAAAAGCTTTAAAATTTTTATGAAGCAAAAATTGTTTAATAAGGGTTATTACACTACTAAACTGTACATGATTGATAATAAACGCTGAAAATGAGGTGATCGCTACCATGCCGTTTCTAAATGTTTAGTATATAATAAATTAAGCTTTAAAAAAAGTCCTGCTGGCTTGCTGGTTATTCCTAGGACAGAGGTTTTTTTCCGAACAGTGGTATAGCTTAAATGAATTTTAATAAGTATTCTTGTAATCTCTATATAAAATAATAATTATTTTATTCAATTCTATTCTACATACTTGTTCCCTCTGCAGTATTTTAATCTTTGCAATTGTCTAAGTAGTACCGAGCGTAGCCGCTAGACAGAGTTGACGTCGGCTAAAAACTATACGATCGCCGTTTTATCAAGGCCATTCATGCATGTTAAAGCCTTAATGCCGGGTTTCCACGCTTGCCAAGTCTCGGCAACCATCCACAAGCACAAGGGTGTAAAGAGGGCGTTTGGCTTGGCTTGCGTGAGCTTGTGGACGCGTCCCCGATCCGGGCTAGTGTCGATTTTTGGACACAGATCAAAGGGCGCTTGCGGCAAGCGCTTGCAACGCATTCACACGTTGGTGCGCGTTTAGTAGCAATTGTGATTTCGCGACGAGCGCATATTTAGTTCTTTGTTTAAAATGAGTAACTGGTCGAACGAAGAGAGTTTATCGTTTCTGGAATTTTACCGAATCGTCTATCTGGAACCCCAAAGACATTAATCATAAAAATAAAAAGAAAGTTGCAAATGCTTGGAGTCGTCTTGCTGAGTTAACGGGAAAGCCAGTAAAAGAATTAAAAGCCAAGAATTCCTTTTTTGTATTACTTTGCTTTTATTTCAAATAAAAGTATGTTAAACCAAACGCAATAACCGACACAAGTTTGGTATCCGCCATGCTTGTATATACGTAGCACACTGACGCATTCACAAGCATGTAAACAACTTCCAAACGCCAAACGAGATTTGTGGACGCTTGGGGCTTGAAGACGTTTGCCGAGGCTTGGCAAGCGTGGAAAGGCACCATAAGAATCGAATATTGTAGGTACCGATTTTTTAGTTGGAATTGGCGTTCAATAAATGTGACAGCAGAGTTTTGGCGGGAACTTGACCGGCGGCGGATTGCTGCTCCTGTTTTATTGTTAAAATAATTGGCTTGCAGTTGATTTTGATATGTAAAAGAGGTGCAATTTTATATATTAAATATCTGCGCATGTGAACTATTAGTGGAAGCGATGAAACAAGTACTACGATGGTGATGTGAATCTCAAGATAAGCTGTCTGTTTGCTTAGGCGCCATGAGATACTATCGCCAAATATCTGCTGGCTCAAGTTGCCGTCAAAATCTCCCAAAAACTACGCAATGTGAAGCAGTTTACTACAAAGGATTATTATACCTTTATTACTAAGATAAATGAAGACATAGCTTAAAAAACAAGCATCCAAGCCAAAAAGCTTAATAAAAAAAATGTGACAGCTGTCAAAAAGTTCCTTGATTTGGAGTTTTGGAGTATAGAAAAAATACAATTATTATTTCATTAAATAGATGTCTTCTTTAAATGTTTAATCTTTATTAAATGGAAAACTACTATAAGGGCAAAAATGTGGAGGAAGAATTGGAAAGAGACAAAATTCCTATTAAAGACCTTCCCGCAAATTTTCTTTGGATGCAGGTATGTTTGTTTTCCCTGCTATCAATTTATTAATTGGAGAAGGCTATGCTCGGAGTTTCTTTGCGCTGCTGTCGTCCAGGGCTGCCAGATGTACGATTTAAATCGTACTCCTACGATTTTTTGGTGTTTTTACTCATATACGATCGCTAGACCAAGATCGTACGAAAAATGTACGACTTTTAAAGATAATTTAATATTTGAAAACATTTCATTTACTTAGCAACTTTTCATAATGAAACGAACGTGCCCCAGCGACAAGTATAAGTTATGTTCGGGGAATTCTTCAACAATCTTATGAGTGCCTAGATCTTTTACTTAAATGAAGACCTTTTGTGCAATCACGTAAAGACTGTATTTGTTTAAAAATAATTATTTATCTCCTTCGGTAATAACTGTGACTTATCAAAAACCTGTTTTTCTTAGCAGTTTAGTCTCATTCTGTATCCGTCCTGAGTTCTTTTTTGTGTTAATTTAATTAGTTCAAGCAAGAATGAGTGAACCTACCAATGCTGCTTCCAGAAATTACATAAATAAAGTACTTTACTTACTACCACTCATGATACTTGTCCTAAGAGTAGTAAAACCCGATGACGTTCAAACAATTCAGGCAATACATAATGAATGGTGCAGTTTTCCCAATATTTTACATAAAATTGTCTTAATTTTAAACATCGACGAGTTTTGGGGTGTCATCAAAAAATTGTTTGAAAATTATAAAACACTGGCCCAATTAGTTTTGAATTTGTTATGTTTGCCCCATTCTAGCGCTGATTGTGAACGAGCATTTAACAAATTTAATTTAATTAAAACAAAACTTTTAAAACAGTTTACCAATGAAACACTGAATGGAACATTATTAGCTAAGCAACTGATAAGAAGAAACGAAAATTGTACAAAGTTGAAGTCAACAGAAGAAATGTTGAAAATGACGACCTCAGCAAAAAGTTGTTGTAATATATTTTTGATCATCGCTTAACAAATTTTTGTTTATTTGCATAAAAGCTGTTTACTTTTAGATTGTACGATCTTTTTATTTCAAAATCTCCCTTAGATACGGCTTTTTTATATTTGATGTACAGTCACTCGTTTTTTCCATCTGGCAGCCCTGCTGTCGTCTCTTTGACAAACTTCTGAGGATATCCACAGTATAATCAGAGTAATCGATATAACCATATAGCTCGAACAATGAGAGACTAGATAGCGTGATGAACAGGTAAGAACATTTTGATGGATGCAGGTGGCTTTGTGTCATTTCTTGAGGGAGGACTATTTTCAGTGGTGGACTTGTGAGGGGATGAGGAGCCGTAATGATGATGATTAATGTAATAGTTAAATATTCAAATGCTCTGTATTATTTAATGTGTGTATAATTAACAATTTATGTAGGTATATTTTAACATAAAATTTTCTGCCGACTTCCAAAAAGGAGCCGGTACTCAATTCGACTGTATGTTTTTTTTTTTTTTCGTTTTTTTTTTTTTTTTTATGTGTGTTACCTCAGAACTTTTTTCTGGGTGAACCGATTTCGATGATTCTTTTTTTATTTGAAAGCTGGTACTTCTCGTGTGGTCCCATATGAATTTGATCAAGGTCAGACCAATAGTTTTTAAGTTATTCTTAAATAACTTATATTGAAGTCGGCTGTACAAAATTTTTAATTTTAAATTATTAGTACAAAGCAGTAATATGTTCTTTACAGGTTAAAGGAGGAAGCAAAATGAACAATTTACTCTCTCATGCATCAGGTATTATTGAGGATAAATCATCCAGTTCTGTTGTATGGACGGGAGCAGGAGTTGCTATTCCAAAAGCGATATCATGTGCAGAAATTCTTAAAAGACAGTTTTCAATAGAACATCAAGTAACAAAACTTACATACAAAATGTACATCTTGCACCCTACAATTGTTGAAATTTTATATTTATAATTTATGTATTTATATTTTGTCTGTTTATTTTTTTTTTATGTATTATTCAGGGTTGAAGAATATTGGGAGCCAAAGATTGATGGACTTGAAAAGATCATTGTTAAAAGACAAATTCCAGTGATACACATTTTGCAGTCAATTGATGAAATACAAGATGTTACTCAACTAGGGTTTGTAGCTCAAAACTTTCCAACCAGTTATTATTATTTAAGGAATTTTATGAAATGTAATGAAAACCCTGTCCAATCTATAAGGGTGCTTTTAGGTATCATTTTATGACAATAAATAAAAAACTTACCCTTCAAAAACATGAAAATTTAATTAAATGTGAGAACATATGGCCACACATGTGATACAGGAGGCGTCAGGTAACAATACAGCTACACATAAAAAAAATTGGAATTTTAAACAAATTGTAGAGATGTGTTAGCTCAGGGGCTAAATGCTAGCTGTTAATTTCACAGTACACAAGCAACCAGTTTGTTCCCCGCTGGCACCAATGATATTGTTAATTGCAATTTTAAGTGCTGATTTACCATGTGCTTATCAGTGAGGGAGAAATTTCCTAGCAATAAAACCCTCTCGGAGATTAGAGGATTCCTGTGCACAGCAATGAGATAGGCTGTAACCTTAATATATTGATCATTTTCTTAAAAAATTATTATGAAGAATAAAGTACGAATTACATTTATACATAATTATATATATATATAATATACATATTAGTTGTCACTCTCGGCAGTTGTTAATAACTATAGTTTTTTATTATTTAGTTGTTATCAAGAAAGATACAGCTGCCTGCCTTATGGTTTAGTTTCCATCTCCTTTTACAACATCTATGAGATGATATGGTGGTCTAGTGGATGATCTAAATGAATTGCCAAACTAGTAAGACATACAGAAAGGGGATGCAGGTGGCTCAGAACAGTGTTTTGTAGTACTTCCTTGGGGAGGCTTATGTTCGTCAGTAGACTTGTTAATGAAATTTATTTGCTTATTACGTTTTTAGGAGAGCTTTGTTAGTTATTATGAAAAACAAAAAAAGTTAGCTAAGGGTCAATTAAAAGTTCCCATATAAATAAAGTAATGGATACACTTTTGTCTCATTTCAGATACCAATCTCTTAAAGGTAAAAAGTTTTGGCAAATTTGTGAGATTAGCAACAATAAAAGCCAACAGCAATCATTTAAAGCAAAGAAGCCTTTCAAACAAAAAAAGAGCCAAATAAAGTAATGAATACCTATATTGTACATTTAAATAAATTATTTGAAAATGTAACAGTCGTATTATTATTCTTAAAGTTTTATTCTATAAAGATTTAATCCTCTTATATTACAAATCTATGCATACCATATCTATCATTTAAATGACTGCCTCATTTGTCTAGTGGTTGTAGTAGTGCAACTGTTGATCTTAAAGTCCCAGTGTGTGATTTAAATCCCAGATTTTCATCAGCAAGTACACCCAAGATATTTTATTATTATCTGGGTTATCTATATAGTTTTCTCATCTGGTTGAGCTGTATAAATATATAAACGTATATGTAAACGAAAGATATAAATATCAGTAAAATAAATACATAAATAAATAATAACCCAACCAGATGGAAGCACTTGGCAGGTGAGACCAAACGGCCGAGGGTTAGGGGGAAAGGGAAAGAAACTAGCGGGCGGTATCGGGGAGTACCGCTGTACACGCCCCTAGCTGCCCCAACCAAGGCTGACGGGATTAGGGCCCATGAGTAATCCCATCGACGAGCAGCAGAGGGACGGGGCCAGAATATGGCCACGTGGAATCTCTCTAATTACATTAAAATATATGGGGGAGCGTTCTATAATACGGCCAGTCGACCGGGAGGAATTTGGACGTAGCTTACTTACCTATATCCAAGGCGACTGGTCCCTCCGGAGTCGGTCAGGTCGCATGTGGTTGTGTAGTGCAAGGAAAATAAAGTGATGTGATGTGTATCTGGGTGTGACTGATGGTGATTGAACCTAGACCTTGGCCGTCGGCAGCAGCCCGAGCGTCGACACCGCTCCATCTTGAGGGGGCCTTCCAAGGTTGTCCACAGTTACTTTCCTCTTTCGTCACGATGACAGTCAATTAACTCTATCGTACGATTAACTAAATTACAGAAGCCACTAACTATCGCTGGGTATAAGGTTAACGCACAAAACGCACACGGAGTTTCTGGATCAAAGGTCACTACCGTTTCGCGTAGCAACAGTTAGTTCTAGAATATCAGAGGCCGCACTAGCTAGTATTGCCGAATGCACTTATGCAGATTCTGAGTCAGCCACAATGAGTCCCTGGGAAGCTCTCCAGCAGGAATGCGCGTCACAATGGTAGACTGTATATTTACTGGCCGCGCCGAATTATTCCGAGTTCCCGACAAAATTGACAGCGTGCTGTTCCGAGCACAGCTGACAGGCGACTGCCTGCCCTTGTGCGTTTTTCGCACGACCGAAAGTCAAACCGGTATGAATGCACCACGCCGAGCGCCCTCTCGCGTCAATCCTTGAAACTAGCGCTTGGCGCGAACAAACCCCCGTCCCGGACATAAGGATTTAGGTCCGCGAGCAAACCGGTCAGCTGGACAAGGTCGCGACGGCAAGTTGCAAGACCGAATCTACAGCCAAACTAGGTCACATTAGGCACCCCAGCAGATCTTGCAACCCTAACCAACGCCTCAAAATTACCGCCCCAACGTGGGCAAGCCGGAGGGTCAGCCTCCACTGGATGTCCCTCCTGGGCATCGCAGCACTTTAACAAGTCCTGTAATGGACAGAAGTCCGACGACCTCTTTCAAGCACCTATCTGTGCCCCTATGATTAGTTCCGCAATCCGACCGGATCAGCTCTGCAACCAGCGGCGCTACACGAAGCTGCCCAGACAAATTTTGTGCCAGCAGTTGCTTCAGTGCAAAGCGCACCCACAAATTCCACATGAACGTCGTCTGTGGAGAGCCGAACGAAACGCACAGATAGTCCCTAGTATGAATTTTCAACAAGTAGGCCTAGCCAGGCCACCCACCATATGATCATTTACTAAAATAGTGCGGCAGCTGATTTCAATCTGATAATTCCAAAACTAGCTAGCCTGTTAGACAAGTAGTCCTATGCTCATATTTCAACAAATTTTTCAAAAGCATCAATGTTCAACTACAGAATCAATTCAACCAAATTAATCACCGATGCGCATAGGTCAACTTGCAAATTAAACAAAACAATAACGTAAGGGACAGCCCTACTTCTTCGCAAAGCAAAATGATTAAACACTATCATAAACATATACATAATTTTTCAAATAGCGCGCCATTCAATTTCCTTTCAGCAAACAGACGCAACAATCAAATACAGTGATTAAATATATGTACAAAACACATGCAGTAGCATTTAAAGGAGTAGATTAAATTCAATTTTTTTAATTTAAACCGCTACAAATAGGAAAATTTCGCGGAAAGCCCAAAGTATTTTTTAATTTTAATTCAAGTATTTTTTAACTAAGTGCTCGACCAAACCAAATCTAATACCCCTTGACAGCGTGATTCAACGCTCCAGAGGGGCCCTAATCTTCCCACCACCAAGGGGAGGCCACATGGGGTGAACCCGAGATCAATAAAGCACAACCGCTAACAGTCGCCACTCGGGTTGTACGCCTTCACTGAGGCCGTCGGCAACAGAACATTTTGACAAGTGGACTGTTGACGGCTTAAGGCTCAGTGGAGGTGGCCGTGGTGGGAGCTAAGGCGGCAGCTAGCCAGGGCCGCCTCCATCAAATGGGGAACAGTGGTACACCAGTCGCGGCCACTCAGCTAACGGGAGTGAGAAGGGTCCAGCGGACCGATGAGTGGCTGTGAAGTTCCTCTCCACACGCTGAGGGGGGGTGATGACACCCCCGCCCCTGGGGGAATTACCCCCCGACTGGTCGGGGGAGGGGCCCCTTTCAAACTTAGGGGCCTGGAGGCTGGCCGACGGGCGCCGATTGTCGCCCGGCAGAGGGCGTGGCTGAGCGCCCCCGCCCGTGGGGGTCGAGGGCCTGGCAGAGCCCCGAGAGGAGACGCCGTTCGCACCCAGGCACAAAACTGCATGGTGATTGCCCTGGCAATGCAGACAGGGCCGTCGATGCGGACAGTCTCGCTGGAGGTGCCCTCCCAGACATGAACAGCACCAGCGGCGCTCCTTGGCGATAGTTCGCCTCGCCGAAACCGGCTTACCTAATAATTTCGGGCACGACGTTACCCGGTGATCAGACGCTCGACAATAGGAGCAGGGGGGGGGGGTTGACGACGACTTGCCTAGAGGATTCAGCCTCTCACTGGGCACGGCTCGTAAGTCGTCAACGGTGCCCGCCGCGTTCTCTATCTGCCGGCACTGCTCCTCCAAAAACCGCAGCAGGTCATAGAAGGGCGGAACATAGGAGGCCTCGTCCCCGCCGTACCTCTCCTCAAAATGGATTCGAAGGTCGAGAGGTAGACGGGACAGCACGATGCGGAGCGACAAAAAGGCCCATTCGCCCACTGGTAAACCCAGCCGCCTCAACGTATTACAGGCCACCAAGACTGGATCCAACAGGTCCGGACGCAGTCTGGCCCGGTCACTAAACAGCGGGAGGCTTAGAAGCTGCTTAACATGTTCGTCTGCAATTCGCCGGACGTTGGCGTATCTTCTGGCTAGGAGGTCCCGAGCAGTCTGGTAGGCGTCGTCCAACAATCTCAAGTGGCCGACGACGCCCAGGGCCTCCCCCTCCAGTGAGGCTAGGAGGTACGCCATCTTTTGGCTCGGGGTCAGGTCACTCCGGGCGTCCACTAGGCTGTCGAAAAGACCAACGAAGGTCAGCCATTCGGAAAGGACCCCGGAGAACTTTGGCAGGTCCAGAGTTGGGAGCCGTCCCAACAGCTCCGGCTGAAGCTGCTTCCGAGAGGACTCGGGCAGGCCACTCATCCGAGCTTCACGCGCCTCCTCGGCATACCTGCCTTCAGCCTCGATCAACTCGTCCGTGAGCCAAAGGAACTGCTCATAGTCCGCGAAGCAGGAGTCCAGGACTCCCTTCTCCACATCCGAATCCTCGAGTTCAGCGTAAGCCTCCTCCACTGCGGCCCTTCGAACATCCACCTGCTCGAACCGCTTCATCAAGTTATGGATCCTATCCGGTCTACCTATCAAAGCATGGGCGCTTATGGCCCAGCGCAACTCAGTCCGCAGACAACGGATCAGTAGCTTGGGCGATGACATCACTACTAAATACAAATTACGACGCGGGTCGAGCTCAAATTACAAGATAACAAATAAAAAATACAACAAAAATTAACAGTTAATAAATGCAGTTCCTATCAAATCGCATTGAATAGAAATTACACAAATACGAATTACTACGTATCGACGAAATACAAGTTAGCACAAAAGAAAAGACACAAATCAAATTAACAAATAACAAATACTAGTGCGATCAAATCAAGCTAAATTCAAATGGCGCAAATACAAATTACTACTCTTCAGTTCAAATACAAATTACAGTATAAACGAAGATACACATCACGGTCGATCAACAAAAAATGCCTAGCTCGGAAATCGACCCTTCGATAAGTAATCCACTACAACTATCCGACAACGATAATGAACCGATTACGTAAAAATAACCATCTACCTACATGACGTATATCTCTAGAAAAACTCCCGCTTGCGCAACCTAGGGCGCGGCTTTTCAAACTACTCACTAACCAAATAAAAAGGAAGCAACAAAGGGAAATAATTTTATTATTACTTACAAAAAATATTTTTACGTATTACGGACGGGCGTGATTGTAGACGCAAATTAAACCAATCAAACCAACGCTCCCTGCCACCAGAACTGTTTAATTTTTATCAAACACTATGGTCGGGATCGACCGGGGAATCGAACCCGGAACCACGCTCTGCTACCAGCTTGTACACGCCCCTAGCTGCCCCAACCAAGGCTGACGGGATTAGGGCCCATGAGTAATCCCATCGACGAGCAGCAGAGGGACGGGGCCAGAATATGGCCACGTGAAATCTCTCTAATTACACTAAAATATATGGGGGAGCGTTCTATAATACGGTCAGTCGACCGGGAGGAATTTGGACGTAGCTTACTTACCTATATCCAAGGCGACTGGTCCCTCCGGAGTCGGTCAGGTCGCATGTGGTTGTGTAGTGCAAGGAAAATAAAGTGATGTGATGTGTATCTGGGTGTGACTGATGGTGATTGAACCT